ACGTTAACGTAACGTTAACGTTAACGTTAACGTTACGTTAACGTTACGTTACGTTACGTTACGTTACGTACGTTACGTACGTACGTAGTAGTAGTAGAGAGAGAGAGAGAGAGAGAGAGAGAGAGAGAGAGAGAGGAATTTGAGGCCAACTAAGTGACCATGTGGGTTTCAATGAGGGGGCCTGAGATTTGCACTCTTTTAGCCATGGACAGCACTAGGAACTTGTGGTGGCCTGGTACTCTTAGATGCTGGATGTGAGAGAAATGTCAATTATTCATCTATCATTGAAAAGAGAGGGCAGGCTCTGGTTTGGCTTCTTGTGTGACATCCTTCCTACATTGCTAGGCCCTCCTTGGTACACCCTCAAATTTTTTTGGAAAATGATTTGATAGGGCTGCAGCCTGCAATTCTATTAAAATAAGTTAAGCTTCACCTCGTGCCTCATCAAAAATTGTAATTCAAGTGTTGAAAAATCTTTAAATCGATCATCTTAGCCTGAACATTGTGGTCGTACAAAAAAAATTATGATTTCAAATTATAAAAATAATGTCTATTACAATAAATCATCTAAACAATGCATTTCACTATAACAAAAAGAGTTTACAAATCCGCAAAAATATTTTTTGAGTTTCAAATTTTATTTTAGGTGTTAAATATTAATTTTAGTGCCATCATTAAGATTTCGATTCCCAAAATGCGTTGAAGATGAGGATTTGAGGTGAGGCTTTATTTTGTTTTCATAAATCTTAGGCCCTCTGTAAACGTCATCAAAAAATTTAAAACTTTTCTAGGTCTATTGTCCCTTTCATTGAGTTTTTACTAAAGCGGCCTATATGAGGGATTTTTTTGTTATTTAGAGAGCGTATAGCATGCTCAGAGAGCGTATTGTATATTAATTCCCTTGGGTATGAAAACTACTTGTGAGGATTTTTTATTAAATCTATCGAAGTATCGCAATATTACTTTTAAAAAAGAAAAAGTTCTATTTGACTTCTTCAACGCCTTGCTCTCCAGGAATTGAACAATCCCTGTTTGTTCTTGGTAGATTATCGATTTTTTATTTTATTTTTTATTTTTTTAGGTTAGTCATTAGGTTCCAGAGGTTACACATCAAATTTTGGGTCCTAAAAATGCCCTTGGGTTAAAAATAAAAAAAAAGGTGCATGTGGAAGTATCATGCCTTTTCACTTTTAATTTTTTAAAACCAAAATTAAGTATATTATCAAAATAACGGGAAAGGAGAAAACTCATTTTCTAATTACCAAAAAAGAGGTTAACCGAAATTTTAATTACCAAAAAAAAGTTAAACCCTAGTTTAAATTACCAAAATTATAAAACAAATAGCCCTAAGTTTTAGAATATACTCATTATATTCAAAATAATAGAAAAGGGGGAAAACTAATTTCTATGTCATCCTATTGAAAGGAAAAGTATGCAAGAGACCATTTACTTTTAGTATAAAGAGTTCCCAACCATTATTGTTCACCAAATTTCAAATCAAATGGTTATAAATGCATGACTGAACTTAAAGCCAAAAAAAAAGTTTCTTGAACTTCATGACATACCCAAGTCATCCAATTGGACATCTAATGGTTAGCACTAATTGTGACCACTTTCTACTATTGATAGATAGTTTCATTCTATACAACCCCTATTGAAAAACCCCAAGTTTTAATTCCAAAATTCAACTTTTTCATTTTTTCTTTTCATGTTTTTCATTTGAGTTGCTACATTCCCAAATTGTATAGTAAAAATTCTCGTTGGTGACCTATCGTTCTCTTCCTTAATTGGATTAGACAGAAAAGGAGTGAACAAAAAAAAAAAAAAAGGCGGCATCCTTGGCTTCCTATTGTGAGGAAGTAGTGGGGTCAAACAATACTGTAGGGCTTGGAATGGGCCGGGCTGCCTTGGCGATAGGCCGAACTCTGACAAGACCAAAGAGACCCTGGCCCAGGCCTGGCCTGGCCTTGACCCTCTGACAAACACAATAAGAGTGAGTAAATGTAAAAATAATAAGAAAAAAGGGTCATGGCCCTATGGTGGGCTCTTTCCTCGGATATGGTGGGCTAGGCCGTGGGCCACATGTTGTGGCTGGGCCTTGTTTTCAAGGGCTCGGCCGAACACACCGGGCCGGGCCAACTGAAAGGTGGAAGAGAGAGAGAATAGGTGTTGGGGGGGGGGGGGGGGGGAGAGAGAGAGAGAGAGTAGGTGTAAGGGAGGGAGGAGGGGAAGAAGAAATGACAATTAGGGAAATGGAAGGGGAGGTACATGGGTTGGAAGGATGTGAAGGCATTTATAGTGGCGTTGGTGTCTTGTTCCCCTTTGCACATGGCCTTTGCAATCTTCTGGTAGGTGTGAGAAAGCGAGGCATGTGCAACCATGTGATCTTCCAAATGCCCAGCATTCCACCAAATTTGGATCAATTGACTCATTTTATTTTGATTCCAATTATTTGCACCATGCCTCACAGCTACGTCAACTAGCTTGGCAGCTTTTGTTGCTGTGGAGAAACTAACTTTGAGCCTTTGGGCTTTAATGTGCCATCACTATTCAAACATCAACCTTTGCCTTTCTACGTACACTACTTACCCAACCTGCTTAAATGGAGGCCCCCAACTTCCTTTGTCATGCAAATTATATACACAACCACATAAAACTCTCTCTCTCTCTCTCTCTCATGGAGCAGTTGCAGATAGGTAAGCGCAAGAGGGTTTGTGTCTCCAGTGAAAACATGAGGTTTTTCGTCACCTTTGCGAGAAACTATGTGAGTTATCTCCTTCCTGCTCTCATCAAAATTGGTAGCATTGCTGATCCTGACTTAGAAGTTGAGAAACTCGTGAGATTCCAAGTAGACATGGCTCTAGTCCTCTCAGCTGGCTCAGGCTTCACATGGTGCAAGGCCATGAAATGCAAGCTCGAGAAAGAGACACATGGTATCATTAACATGTTCATGAAGCAGACACCAAACTCCACGAGTCCTCCCTGTGAGAATTCCATTAAGTTTTCAACTTTTTCACCATTCTCTAGGACTTTCCATCATGTTGGTCTCCTTAGAAACCCTAACCCTAATTTTCTCAGCTTAAGTTACCCTAGCCCCCAGCCTAAGTCACTGGTTGAAAATCTCTCAGAAAACCCTAAACCAAAGTCTCTCATGTTACTTAACCCAAACCGACATCCTAAGTCATTGGTTGTTCTCCTAGAAAACCCTAACTCTGATTCTCCCTTCATGGCTAAACCAAACCATGGCCATAAATCTTTGGTTAGTTTTGGTCTCTTGTCTAACCCTAGTCCTGATTCTCACATCATCTCCAACCCAAACCATGACCCCATATCTTTGGTTGATGCTGGTCTAGAAAAACCTAGAACAAAGTTCCTTACAATTAACCCTGACCCTAAATCTAGGGTCTATCGGGCACATCGGAAAAAATGCGGAAGAAGAAGAACAAGAAATATGGGATATTCAATGAGGAGGAGAATAGGGCTTGGAAAGCTAAGAGGTGAAGAGAAGGAAATAAGGAAGCGTTTGAGGATTTTAAGAGAAGTTACACCTGGTGGAAATGAGATGAGGGTGGAGGCTTTGTTTGGGGAAGTGGAAAGCTATATGCATTGTTTAGAGCTTCAAGTCCAAATCCTTCAATCCTTGGTCAGTCACGGTGCAAAAAGCAATGGCAAGTTATAGCCATTTCGTATAATTCTATGTATTTAACCTTTGCATAAACCAAGATTATCATGAAATTCCATAGCCTTGAAGAAATATTAGGGTTTTTTATTACACGACTATGGGTGCATTTAGAGGCATGCCATACATTTATTTGGAATTATGTTGATGGAAAACTCCCTTAAAGTATCAAGGAATCCCACATGCATGCCTGAACAAAGTTCATGTAAGCAGTCCAAGCCTGAATTTCACAAGGACTAAAGGAATCACACAGTATTATTTGTTGCATAACACTGTATTATTTGTTTTTGTAAGAGCAAATTTTGCAGTAATTCTACATTGCTTGTAGTTCAAAGTAAGTCCATAGATGGGTACTTTCTTCTTTTCCTCCTTTTCTTTCCAATGTTTGATTCTCCCTCCTTTTTCTTTTTTTAGATGTTAATTTTTACTTCGTTTGTCCTTTCCAATGAGAAGGGGAGGAAGATTTTAAAGGAACTTCAAAACTTGTAAATTCAGAATGGAAATATTACATCTTGTATATCTGCTAGGAAAGATTTTGTGCTCTCCCTTTGAGAATTTTGAGTCTCTTGTACTCCATTTTTTTTACCAATCTTCTAAATATGATTTCTTCCTTTCCTATTTATGGTATGAGTAAAGTAGGCGACACCAACTGTGTACAGTATGAGTCGGTCATTTCCTTATAATTGTAATGCTATGTAGGGATTGTCGTGCACACAGTTACCAAACCATGTAAACTTTCAAGTGAGATGGCCATTTACTCTTTTTTGTTTCCCCTGAATTATGGCCATTCTGAGGGAGTATATGGCTGTTTGTTTACTCTATCATAATCATTTTTTCCGGGTTGTCAATTACTTTATACTTAGTGTATACATGATGTCTTTTTTTCCCTAACTTGATGTATAACTTTCAATACCTAACAAAATTGTTGTACAAGTGTATTGGCTTTACAAAATTGTCTTTTTGATGACTTCACAAAAACTTCGAACCTTGTAACTATGAGGGAGGTGTTAGAGACCCCCTCCTTCACTAAGGAGTCTGCTACTGTATTTTCCTCGCTATAAAAAGATGACTCAAAGAGACCAACAAAAATCTAAAAATAACTTTGATTTCATCAATAATGGGGAGAGATTCCATTGTTGATTTCATCACTTATGGTTCATGATGCCATTTCGGTTCCCCAACATCACTTACCAAGGTATACAACACAAAGAACAGGACAATTACTAATTAGACCTTAAAAAGTGATTTGCCTTCCTCTGTGATAATGTTACTTCATTCACCATGTCTTAGGCGAATGAAGTTCCTCTTTGTGATTCACTCTAATGTAAGATACCCATTCATATTTTATGCTTCCCAAGTTATCGGTTTCGGTCACATGGAAGTTCTACATAAATCAGCATTTTGAGAAACTCTTGTTTCCTCACTTAGTTATGGTCACCCTTTAACAATTTGGACACTCCAATTCCAAATGTGAGCTTTGAAGACTGAAAAATCAACCTGAACTATGAAAACTAAAAAGTCAAATCATGGCTCAATTATGCCAAATAGATTAACTCTAAACAATCTAAATTGTGTTTAAAACTTCATAACTCAGCAATGGATATCAAAATCATGTTAAAGAAAACTTCATAGCTCAACAACAAAATTATTGTCCTTAAAGAAATCTCTTGTTGCATAGAGGTGGCCATGCTAGTGTGAAGCTTAGGACACAGCCCAGAATGTCTTGGAAGTTTCAAAAAACCCAAACCCCTCTCCTCTCTATTTTCATTGGCAACCTATATCAGGTGAATGATCTTGGGACATGTTTGGATGCCTCCGTTTTTCGATTCAAGAAATGAGTTTCTTTTTTTTGGGTAAAGATTCAAGAAATGAGTTATTTGAAAATAAGTGCAAAACAGCTTTTTTCAGCTTGTAGTTGTGACAGTTTTGGCAAAAAAAATTTATATTCAGAAATAGAAATGGCCCATATCCTTGAATAGTAAAGTGGACCAGGCTACACCCATTTGCACTCCCGGATGGGGAGGGAGTAAATGGCTTTAATGTGGTGGTTGAAATATTTTAACAAACAAGAATAGGCTCGAAGTTGAATTTTACTCCAATCTGTCAAGCATATTGTTTATATTAAGGTATAGGAAATTCTAAGAAACTCTAATTGGAAACACCCCCAAAGTACCCCATATTTTAGCCTATTTTAGCAACAAAAAGTGCCACCAAGCAACTCACAAAAAAAGAAACTATCACAACTCACAAAATTCACATTGAAGGAATTTTGAGATGGAAGGATATCCTAACAAGCTATGGAAGTTTCTTTGTCATAGCTCTTACTGCAATGACCTAAACTTCTTGGTGAAATCTATCGGAATGCCATCGTTGAAGGAGACTCAATCAATGTTTTTAAATGGTGGTCTCCAATCATATCTTGAATGAAATCAGAGATCAAGGTGAGGAAAGAGTGATGACTTTTGTTCACACATATAGAAAAAACAATGCTTAGGCAGATAACTAGGCTAAACTAGGGTCACCATTTAGCTGTAAATAGATTTTGGAGATCTGTGTTTCTGGTGACTGCATTTCCATAGCAATCAGCCCATATGTAAATCTTTTAGCAATAAGCCCATCTCGTGATAGATATTTTGAGCAACTTTTTGTAGAAGCTCCTTTTATCTCCATAAAATGCTACATTTAAAAATATTCTATGAAAAAGTCAAGGTTAAGAGTACGAAGATTATTAGTTTAAAGCTGATATGTTTTGACTATCTAATCTGTAAGATCCCTTTTCCAAGCTCCATTGCTATATCCTTCTAGAGTTCATCTTACCCTATAGCTTTGAATAATTCTTGTACCATAAGCATCCACCATATGGCCAGTGATCCTCTCATAGTCTTTGTTCCTTCATACATATTTCATTTGTAAAAATATATCAGTTTTCATAAATTGTTGAGTCAATTCTTTCTTGTTTAATAATTGATGGCATTCAAAATAACTTCTTAGATGACAATCATGTTAGTTTAAACAGATTTAAAACTGGATTATTTGGTGTTTCAAACAAACTTAAATAAAGGTTTTGGGTGTTTAGGCTAGAACCACAATGAATCAATGATTATCCTATATCTGATCAAAAGAGCAAATTGTTTGATTCAATCATTCTATTTATTAATAAGTTCAATCATATTTGAATTGTTTAACTTCAAATTTCCTACCTAAAACTCATTAAGAACATTAGAATGGGTTCTGTAGTCTCCCGAAGGTTCTCGAGAGAGTCTCCCAGAGTTCTTTGATGAGTATTTCACTTGGGAGTATATTCACTCACGAATACAATGCATTACAGGCCTGGTTGATGATGTCCAACCATTTGTGGCTCTGGGTCCAATCAAATCACTTTTTAAGGATTTTGAAAGCCAAGTTATCCTACCATATGTGCTATTTTGTGAAGAAGGGATTGTGATGCGAGGGCTGAGAATTTACTGGGTTTGGATCTGAAACCCAAATTTCGAACCCTATCCGGATCTGGGTATGGATCCAAATCTTGGAATTGATGGATCTGGATCCAAATCTTAATCCGGATTGAATATGGGTACTAGGTGGATCGGACCCGGATCCGGATCCGGCACAGTTATTAAAATATTACAATATATATATACATATATGTTATATAGTATTTTGGGATTGTGTATAATGAGACCATTTAACTTTTATACAAAGAAGTCACAATTACTTGTAATCATTCGATGTGAAATTGCATAGCTTAGATGTGTCACAAAGTTTGACAAAATTTCTTTTGAACTTTGAACTTGGTCGATGCAATAAATGTAGCAACCCAATTTTACATCCAATGGTCAGATTAATTGTGACCACCTTGTTCCAAAGATAAATGGTCTCATTGTATATTTTTCTTAGTATTTTTTTCTTATGTATTATTTTATATCATTTTATAGATATAAAATAATGCATGAAATAATTTTTTTGGATCTGATTGGGTCTGGATCTAGATCCAGATCCCATATATGCTTTTTGGATCCAAATACAGATCACAGTGGATCCAGATCCGATCCGACCCATTCTCTGTCCTAGTGGTGTCACACATGTTATCGTTCTCTTGGTAACTTTGGTTACATGGAGAGTTCCCCCTATTTATTTTATTTTTTTTCACTTGATTGAGAGAGAATTTTATACACCTTTGAATTGGATGTATGCCATGGTTTTTTATTCTTAAACCTTAATTTAGGTATAAAACTAATCTATTAGATTGTAAAATGGCTTCTGAGGCTGCCAAAAGATCATTGAGCATCAATCCTGAAGTTGGCAGAAGTTTCTAAAACTCAAAATCCGAAGGCAACCTCTCTCCATAGACACAGAAATCTCAATTTTTGGCTGCTGTTTCAGAGAGTTTGCACATGTTCGGCCACAATTTAACTGGAATATCATTCCCATTCAAACTGTAGTTTCAAGATTAATGTGGTAATTTGTATGAAGGCCTTGAAGAACCCTAAAGCCAATAACCAGGGATTGGGCTCAAGGGGTACCACTCTATCCAAGTTCAAAGCTTGGCATTGAGATACCCAAAAGAAAAAGAAAACATTATCTATCTCAACTAATAGGTGTGGATGCATCAAGGGAGAAAGTAAAGTATTAACTTCATAGCAATGTTAGAAAAAATGCCGATTTAGTCGGACTCATCCTATCTAGGTCGGTTTTGGGGTGCCAGTCCTGTTCCCTCGGTATATCAAGAAAAAGGCAATTCCCCAGAGGAATGGACCGATTCTATTATGGAACCGGCTGATCCAGCCCCACTTTATTCTTTATTTATTTTTTTTTCAAAATTTTTAATTTTTTCTCAATTTTTTTTTTATTTTTTATTGGCCGATTCTCTCAACTAGATTGCTGATCCAATCACGGATCCACCAATTCGGATCGGTTTTCCTGATGGTCGATCCACTTCACCAATCCGTGTTTTCAAACCTTGCTTGATAGTAAATAGCATCTTGGGAATCCTAACAATAAACACCCCTTGTTATATCTTATCTTTATTGGCCATGCAAGAATTTAATCAATTCAATGAACTTATAATTCCACCAAATTTTCTCTTTATTTGAACATGCAAGTGTGTTATGAAATCAAGGAAACTTACAATTCTAAAAATTTTCTCTTTGTTTGAACATGCAAGTGTGTTATGAAATCAAGGAAACTTACAATTCTAAAAAGGCCCTTTTTTATAACTTTTTTTACTATTTCACTGAGAATCCCTAAGAATTCTTAGGATTCTATAAACATCAGGAAAGTTGGTGAAATCACTTTCTCCAATTTGATAACTTACTAGCTAGGAAATCAGAGCAATCAGTATTCCTTGTTTAAGAACCTGTTTGAAAA